CCCCAAAACCCCAAAACCCCAAAACCCCAAAACCCCAGTCCCCAAATCTCTAATTGAATTAATTTAATTGAACTGAGAAAGAGAATATTATCTATCTTATTGATAGATATCATAATATCTTTTAGTGGCAATTTTCTCTGATATATCAGCTAGTCTGTACCCAGCTACTACTAACTGTTCGTTTATGAATTTTCTGCCTCTTTCAATGTACTCCTCAGATATTTTCTCACCAAGTGTGATTCCGTTATACACAAAATTCTTAACAAATTCATGGCTCTCGGCAGCCCAATCGAAGGAATCTGTGATTTCTAAACGCTTAGAGACAGACTCTCTGGGATGTTTGGTCATGAGTTCATGAGCAAATGTACCAATTTGATCCCATTCTGATCGAGTAAGAGGGTTCCAGATTGAACCGTATTGGTCTACTCAAGCATCCCAAAAATGATGCAACTCGTCCATTTCAGATTTGGCGTAGTCTATTTTCCATCTATGTCCTATATTATCCGATTCAGGGAACTCTTTTGTGTATAGTGTGCCAGTGTGAAGAGGTTGATGAATATCTCCTACCAAATGGATTAAAAATCTCCAAGCGAATGAGACTCCAAATCCAGCATCTATGCTCTTCTTCTCTGTGAAATTAAGCGTCTGGATCATCTCGTTAATAGCCCATGTAGCATTTTGAGGCTCTTCAAAAGTATCTCCTTGGTATCCATCTCTAATGATAGGAGTTCTTACAACATGCCACTGACTAAATTGTGACATTCCAAGTTCTTTGATGTCATCCGGCCAATTAGAGGCTTCAACAAACGGATAGTTGCCATCCTTAGAAAATTGACCAAGATGGCCAATTTCAGCTTCGATCTGCTCCATGAGAGTTGGGTTGATAGACTTAATTTGTTCGTAGGCGATTCTAGCTACTATCATATGACCAGATGACCAAAATGCACTAACTTGTGCTACCAAATTCATGATGAGAAGAAATATGCACCCTATTACATGTTTATTTGGGATGGTTAAGTTCTTCATTTCTAAAGTATTTATTATTCTAACTTTAAATATTAAGCAAGGGAGTTGGGGTTTTGGGGTTTTGGGGTTTTGGGGTTTTGGGG